TACATCGAACTAGGATTATTTTAGAAATCGATATGAGATTCAAAGTGTAAAAATGTCCAGTACCTTGAATGTTTTAGAAAATTATTCGAGATTAAGATGTATGGAACTACTGAAAATTACTTTAGATTCCTTTTCCTTATTTTGTAAATTCTTTGATTGGAATATGAATGCTGCAGGAAGTTCACGGATGCAAATGTCAAGTTCGGATAGCATCTTTTTTTTCCTTCCTACAGTTATCTGAGAAATTATTACTCAAACAGAACTTTCAAATGTGTCTTTGAATTCATCTTAAAATCGTTCATAACACGAAATAAATAAACATTCTATTAAGTTTGACACCAGTCCCATAAGATCTTAGGTCCATTCTTATATCTCGTTTGTGCCGACACGTGCTACTGACGAGATGGTTGCCACTAGTGCTGAGAGGTGGTGTATCGGTGCAGTGCTCGGACGCCAATTGATGACGGGACCTTACTAGTCAAGCATGCCCACCACAAGAATCATTTATCTGTTGCCCTCTTGCGGCAAACTGAGGAAATCGGAGTCAAAAATTCTTGGAGCTCTCTTATCCGTTCTGTCCGTTTCCAGTGGACTATTTGGCTTTGTGTCCGTCACGTCTTGTGTTTTGATATATACATATACCATCGTTTCTAGCGATGCGTTGAAATCAATTTTCTACCTTAAATAGAAATATTGGTGTAATATCGATCAGTCTATATTGTTTTTGTTTAGTTAGTAACAAAAATGACGTATATAAATTCTTGGGAGGAGTTCGAGGAGGTTGCTGAGAGGTTATACCTTCAAGATCCAATAAAAGTAAGTTTCAGTTAAATTTACGTTAATTGTTCTGTTATTGTCATAATCATATATTTAAAATTAACCATAGTTTTTAAAAATCGTGTTATGTGAACGTATTTCATTCAGTAATTGAAAAAGTTTTGTACGTTGGTTGGTTCCTTAACATGACATGACACGTCATTCGTTCATTTGATGAAAACAACATTTTATTTCGACTGTTTCTTCCGTGGAAATAATATTTGTTACATTAAATCTACAGTTTGTTTGAAATATAAAATTTAATTCTGTTACACAGTGTGTATAAACAATTCAAAGTTGTTGCATATGGTCTTTATTTATTTTAGATACTAAACAACAGGTAAAGGTCATTTAAAGTTTTATAAGTTTATAATCTATTGTTTTCTTGTTTCAGACTCGGTATACGATGAAATATTGCCATAAGAAAGGTGTTCTATGTCTAAAGCTAACAGATAATCGAACGGTACATGTTATTTGTGTGACTTACCTTATAATTCTGATAGACTTATTTAAATAATACAATCATAATTTTTTATTGCAGTGTGTACAATATAAAACAGAGATAGCACAGGACTTAAAGAAGATGGAAAAATTTATAGGAAATCTGATGAGGCATATGGCATCTAAAGAGAGCTAAACAAAGGACTAGACAAAATTAGGGACTCTGTTTTTTAAAGTAAGGAATAAAAGTGCTGCGCATTTAATTCATTGTTTATGTTTCATTTCATAAGTTTCAGTGACTGATGGGATTATAGATATTTAATTTGAATGAGGTATAAAAAATTTTCTTAAATATACAATATGTGCATAAATGTCTATTTTGTATTCATTTAAAGCTTCATGCTCATTTCGGCCGGTGACGTTGCCTCCTTGTTAAAGTTCTGAAACAATGAAAAACAGAATGTATGATGATGTGAATGAACATTTTTTGAAATAATAAATTTTTTAAAGAAAACAATGGATCTAATATTTATGTGAAATCTACCAGTACTTCTCAGAAAGTATAACTATATTCTTCCAACTATACGTAGAATGTTCAGCAGTGTGTAAGGCATTAGGTATTAATAAAGCCAGAACTCGATTTTAATTAATTTCTAATACTGAATATTATCATAAGGGAGAAGCATGAAGCAATGAAAAGAAGCACTTACGATATAATGGGCTGCAGAACAGCATCCAGAGTAGTATCAACAGGAGGGTAGATTTCTTGATTTGAAGACAGTTCATAGCGTACCTCTCCCCCTAATTGCAATTGCGTCTATACCAAACAAAACTATTTTACTAATTCACTATGCAGAAAATCGTACAAAACAACACACTACATTCTAGTGACAGCATTTCGCTTATTCGATCTTTGAACATTGTTCGATTAAACAGGAAACGATATGAAGTAAAATAACTTAACGAAATGCTATAACTGGCGGAAAAAGGAGTAGCGAACCTTAACCATATATATTTATAAAAAGCGCTTAGTACGTTCGACAGACTTCAACAATGTAAGTGCAATTTTAAGAAACTCAATTTTATTTGTCCTATAGTACCGTGACGATTTCTTTTTCTTTTTCTTTGTTTTTTTTTTAAAGCGAAAAGCTTGAACTACGTGAAGCAAAAGTGTAACCCATTACTTTCTATTTGTACTGTTTTGCACCGACAAATGTAATATACATGTCCATTTTACTAGGATTGATCTGAAATCGATTTTCGACGATTTTATTGCGTTTATGGCAGGGTAGACCAATATTCTATTTATCGGTGTCTGTCTTACGAAAATATAATTAACATTAAGTATTATATATTGTGTAGGATGTAATGAGTTTCACACGAAACCACACTTAATAAACGGTTGTATTAAATTGTTATATAAACGAAAAGCAAGCGAAAAGATACGTACTACACGGGTAGGTTTAGCGCTGTCGGCAGAGCTTGAGCAGCAGCTTGAAAATTCCTGCGGTGTGCTTTCCCCGAGGCCACTGTCCACGTTACTGCCTATCAATATTCTGTTGTTACGAGTATAATAAAAGTCCTTCCTCATATTGCACTCGGTCCTACTACCGTCGTAGTACTTAGCCTCGATTTGACACGGCCTGGTCGGTGGCAAATTATAACTTCCGTCGCGACTATGCTGTATCATTCTTCTGTTTCTTTTGCCAATGGATCCGATCGTTCTGAAAGTGAGTCCTTGACAGTCTTCGATAGACACTCCATATTTTTACGAACATCCCCCCTGATCGGGCACCATTCCGACATCGATGCATATACAATTTTTTTAGTTTGGCAAACGATCAGATGCGGTTAATACAAATACAACATACTACGAGCTAGATTGCATTCCTCTTTTTCTTTTATTTATGACCTATTTTTTTTAGCAATATTCACAAACAGATTCTTCTCATTCGTCGTTCCGTATTTTGTTGCCGCCAATGTAATCTATTAGAAAGTTTTACAGTGTTTCAAGGCTACCGGACACTTCAAATGGGATTCGGGAGCACGACAGATCGAACGCGTCGATAAGTAGATATCAATCGGGTCTCAAATGTTTTTCTTTCGTTGCTCCCAAATACCAATGTTCGGCTCGACGAGAGTACACGATGCAAATATACCACAAACAACACAATTACACAACAAACGTAATAACGAGACACACGCATACACACAACGAAGAACAAATACTACGATTTTGTGGGGGTGGGGGATTGTATATACTTCCACGTGGGTACACCCGTGGAATAGCAGAAAGCATCAGTGGGGTGCCAGCCAGGAAATAAATACACAGGTGCGACAAAAGCTGTTAATCTCATCGATTTATTAAGGGTCCGTCATGCTTCTCAAAATAAATAATGAAGGGACATGCTTATAATAGATGATGTACATGCTCTGAATAAATAAAAAAAAAAAAAAAAAGAACACAAACAAACACATGCAAGTGGGGAAGTTTTTAAACAATGACTACGGATCCCGTCTCATCCTCCATTTGCGGAGGATGACTGTGGATGTTGCAGGCCGTCTTGAGATCATCGTACCTAGGCAGAGAGGACGAGTCTGCCTCGTCCAATCGGGAATTGCTAGACTGTAAGGGACATTGCTGTACAGATTGCGCTTGAACCACCGTGTACGGTATCTCTCGGCGTTGCTGCTCGCTCATTCCGGTTGTGTCGACTAGCCCAAACTCCAAATGTCTGGAAAGAATCACGCTTTCAATTACTATATTCTCGTATACAATTTCCACGAGGACCATGTGTATGAAACAAATTTTAAATGTACCGATTGTGAGATTAAAGGAGATATACAAAATATACATGGTTTTCTAGTTTCGCCGGAAACATGATTTCCATTGTTGTTTAAGCAGAGAAGAAATAACCGAGAGTTTTTTCTAATCCCTAATTTTAACCCCTCGTTACAACAAACTGAATTCCATTCACTACTCGAGAATATTTCTCGTTTGAACATGTTATCAAACTGCTTAATAAATAATGTTTCTATTTTTATAAAATCATATTTACCGCATTTTAAGCCATATCTTAGGGACCACCCTCAAAGAGTACAAGACACACAAAAAAACATTGTATATAACATATTAGGTAATACTTTTGACGACGATATCAGAATTATATTAATGAAACATACTTCCTAAGCTCGTCTGGCAGTGGCTGTTTCTGAGAAGGACTCCGATGTCTACTCCTGTGCCTTCTTCTAGGTTCTGTATGGCTCACCTAATACAGAATCATTCATACTTAATTATATATTCTATAAAGGGAACAGAAACTAATTATACAGAAAAGCTACTCGAAACGAAGAATAAAACCCAGATAGTACATGACGCCTAATGACGCCTTGAAGACGGCTTAAAGGCGCCTTCGACCTAAAATACCCGTAAAACGAGCGACTTCAAGGCGTTATGTGCTATCTGGGAAGAGATATTCTCCGAATACTGTAAAAAGTACTTTTAACCGTTTAAGTGTTTTATTTCGTTTTGAAAACGTGCACTTGTGTCCTTAATTATTTTCAAGCTATGGCGAGTATACTCGACAAAAGCAGAGACAATACATTTGTTGTAAAATTGAAAACAAAATTACTCTTGCGACTTGAGCGCCATCTATTGTCAACAAAAGGTCGTTGCCTTACCAAACAGCCCTCGTACATATTATACTGCTGCATACATATTTCGTTTTTCTAAAGTGACTTTTTCTCTTTGTACATTATCTATTTCTGTCCAAAAAATATTCTAAAATGTGTTAAAATTACGAATATGTTTCTTGTTTTACCCAAATTTTACTTTAAACAGCAAATGCAACGTTTTTGTTTGCTTGATGACGACTATACTTGTCATTAAACAAAACAATGCCGTCTTTTCATGACGAGTATATTTGATATAAACATCGAAAGGGTTAAAACGGAAGTAACATCGTTACTCCAACTTACAACAGCCCGTTGGACTCCTTCGCCTTTCCGCTTCTGTGCTTCCCTCCATTGCGGTTCAGAGTCCACCAATTCGTGTCTGAAAAGATTCCCACACAGAGGGTGAATGTACGTCGTATAATAACGAGCATTATGACTAGAGAGAAGTGTTGTTTAACTCGAGTACACGCGTATTACAAGTGCGGGACGATAAACTAGATTCGAATGGTACACTTCTGTCGGAGCGTGATTACGATACCCCAGGACCCGCTTATGCATTCATTTCCCGTTGAATGACGTGACACCGAACACGGAGAGATTTCGTTGAGCCCCGGGTTGGGTACTTCCCGCGTGCGTTGGGTCATTAAAATAATTATCACCTCCACGCACTTTATGTACCCTACCGTGAGAGTATAATGAGTAACCACCAGGGGCTTCTTTCCCGTCCCTTACGGTCGACGAACTCCGCCCAAGATGTTCGAGCGAGCTAATTCCTTTTCACGTGAACGTCTGAGAGGAACCTTTATTACTCCAATTAATTACCAATTAAGCCGGCACGCACATCTTAAGACCCTAAATTGACGTAATAAACGGGGGAAAAACACGACGGGGACGATTATCGACACAGTCTCTTTTGAATTTCCTGCGTTGTCGCGTGACGGTCGTGATGTCTCGTGTCTCGTCAGGTGCACAGTCTAAAGGTCGAATGTCATGTCGGAATGAAGAACAGTCCCTTAGGATAAAATATAGCGGAACTCGTAAAAGTTCCTCGAGGAATGGCACCATTCATGAGGTGCAACCTAATTGTGTCACACGGTGAGCTCCGGTTGGTGAACCAAACCCGCGAAGACAGAAAAAAATGAACTTCCCAGTGAGATTAACACTATGATGGCGGATGACGTAGTAATACATGTTTTCAAAAAGAAAAGTTGAGCGCGGTTGACGTAGCAGTATGTCTTTTCGAAAACAAAACTGATAGCGGTTGACGTAGTACAATAAATCCTCGATGAGTGCTCGAAGGCTCCTGGCAAGAAGAGATCCCCAGGTGTAACCCTGACTTTTTAATCAGGTTCAGCACAGTGATAAGAGCTTGGAATTCCGAAGCCAATGATATTTGTTTCATTTGTTGTACATGGCCATTAGTTTATGAAATATTTTATGTTCAGTGCCGAGAAGCATTCGTACACTCATCGAGGATTAACTGTAGTATGTCTTTCTTAGATAAGAACTAGAATAGTAAAAAAAAATAGGGAAACATTGCTTTTCCTATATGTGAAGTTTGACGAATACAAACTTAAGCAGTAGTTTCTAAATATTTTCAGAACTCCTGAGGCTGTATACTTTCTAACACAAAAATCCTCCCGCCAGCAAAGTGTTAATCGGACTATACAAGAGTGGTGATGTGTCCTACTATTCTGGAGGAGCTTTCAATCCTGTCGTTCTCAAATTTCTGTGAGAAAGGTCGTCCCGAGGTGTGTGAAATAGATCGTCGCGATCACCGTGAAGAATTTTACGAGTTCGCTTTATTTTATCCAGGGGACTATAAGTATACTATCTACCTAGAAGAACGGGAGCTTCTGTGCTTCCTACGATGCTTACGATGTCCCGACCTGGTGTCCGAACCTCGTGAAAGCTCGGATTCACAGTCGGAGTGACGACTGTGCCTTCGATGACTATGACTATGACTTCTCCTACGATGACCGCTGCGACTATGGCTGTCCCCTGAACTTTGGCTCTCGACGGAGCTGCTCCTTCGCTGGAGCCTGCTCAAGAGCTGAAAACCAAATGACAATTATTGTTTCGTAAACACACAATATAATCGCGCTGTTATACAAAAGTAAGTCCCTACTCGCTTCAAGCGGTTTCTGAAAGTTTGTATTCAATTGATTATTTAAATGTCCATCGATTAATTATCTATCAACTTCAATTATGAAAGAAGTCCACTAATACTTTGTAAAACGCTATGAATGTTCAAGTAGGAGATACGTTTCGGTTGCAAGAGAACATTCCGAAATGGCAATCGCCGATTTTTATGAAACTCTGTGATATTCTAGTTCTTATGAAAATATTTGACACGTATTTTTTTGTAATTGCTCGTATCCACGTTGACAAAAAGTGGCTTTGACATTAAAACTATCGCTGTTTTGGATATTATTAGGTGTAAAGTAAATCATCGATGAGTGTTCGAAGGCCCCTCGGCACTAAGTGTTCAGATCCCCAACCCTGGGCGCTTGACCACTTTCACAGGGGTCCTTCGAATGTTCATCGATGACTTACTGTATTACTAAATAATCCACTAAATCTTTATCATCCTTTCTCCATATTGAATACTTCCTTCAATACTAAGATAAATCCTTCAATACTACTAGCCATGGTTCTTCAACACAATCTACAAAATACTGGATTACTCATTAGTGCACCCAATGGATACCCCAACAACACCCACACTCTTCCACAACAATTTCCACCCACAATCCTATATTTGTCCCAAACAAATCGCATTTTACAACAAACTGAAATTCCTCTGAAATGTAGCCAACGGTACAAATATTTTTACACAATCCTACACAATACATCGAATGATATCTTAACGAAAGAAGAGGTCACGTGAACGTACTGCCGGTGCCGTTCCTGCGGAGCGGACCGACCGAGGACTAGACGAAGTATAAAGGCCCCGAGGCTGGCTTTGAGTCCACGGGGCGCTCCTGGTGCTCCTCGGGCTCGAATTGTTCGCCTGTCTGGCGTTCTGTGTATTGCACAACACATTCCCACTGGCTGGATTGCCGGTCGAATTAACGTTCACGGTGGCAGGTGTCTCCACGAACGGACCGACCATTTCTTGGCCCTCGACCACGCGTCGTTGCGCTCTACGACTCGGTGTCCGTTGAAATATCGGTGCTGGATTCCGTCTGATCAACGTGTGCTTCTCTGATCCGGACGGCGGGCTGTACGATCGGAAACGGGAATACGGGCTGAGGGGCGGCGGCCCCGTGGCCATTAAACGGAAGAACGCCTGGTGCTCCAGACAGCATTTCCACAGGTGTCTGCACGCTCCCTTTGACGGTGTCTCGAAACCGTGTGTTCGCTCCTCGGAATTCTTCTCGCTCACCCTCAGCATGAAGTATCTACCCTGAAAAGTGTGATATAACCCAGGGTTAAGCTTGAGAACAGTCGACACAAATTATCGTTCTATTTCACCTTTACAGTAGTAATAAGAGTGGGTCGGAATCTAATTTTTTAAATTCTTGAAACTCGAATATCCGAAACTTTGTAAGACTTCGAAACTCTCGAAACTCAAAAATTGTTAAACTCCCACAGAAATTCATGGTGCTTAATATATGGCAAATAATTAAACCTTCATTTGCTAACAAAATAACAACGTTTATTATAACTAAATAAGTTCTATATGCGGTGAACAAACGGCTCGATCAATCTCGCGCACACTCTTTGACTGTTTAAATCTTTGAATGAAAAGAAGTGCATTTATAGAAAATTTAGGGAACGTATTGATAGAAAATTATTTTAGACAACGGAAATATTACCCGCGGACGAAAGCTGTTAACTGATGGTGGAGAGTATTATGAATACGTCGGAAAAATAGGGCAAATGCCACATATGTGTCTAGTAAAGCAGAAAATAAGAGTTTACAAAATGTCATGAATACCAAAAGTTTGTTTACAGAAGCCAATATTATCATATATGTACAATTTGTTATAAATAAATAACTTTAATAGAATGTATCGGTCTATTTAATCAATAGGCATTATAAAAAATATAATAATATATTACATTTCCTTGATCCTTTAGTTAGAAAATAAAATTAAAAAAACGAATTTTATATATAAGGGTCATTTTTGTCTCGAAGACCTTAAGTGTGCATTTAAATCGAGGAACGCAAAAGGGTTAAAAAAAAAAACCGATCGGGATATTCGTGATACACGTGAATCGAACATTGTCGGGACACGTTGGTAAACGATTCTTTAATAATCGATTTTATATTATTTCTTTCCTAGGTTTTGAGAATTTCGAGTTACGAAAAAAGTGTAAAGTTTCGAATTTCCGACACTCGAAACTTCCTTGAGTTTCGAATTTCCGACACTCGAAACTTCCTTGAGTTTCGACGTTTCGAGGAATTCATTCCTAGTTGTAATTATTAGTAATAGACAATATATTTTATTTTGATAAACATTATTCGATTTCTTTTCTGTTATTTATTGAATTGTTACGAGACGGTTGAGTGGATAATTGTTGAAAAGGGCAGATATCATAAATTGTAATTATTAGACTTAACTGAGTATAATAAAAAATTCAATGAAGTTTAATCAGGTTTTTATCGTTTTCTGAATTTGGTGGAACCCTTAAACAAAGTAAATAAACTTTTGCCTCATTCCAGTCTGTGAATTTGTATAAATATTCGTAGTCCCGTAATTATAATCGCTTATTTTCCTTTTCTTCTATGTCATCTCATTAAGCTTTTGATTTTGTAATTTCAATATTTGTAATTATTATTATTACTGTGTATTTTCAAATACGTTGCTTCTTGTAGCCAGTTGTTACATTTAATTAAGGATTATGGGGTTTAATAAAGTTCATGAATAATCTTCTTTGATGTATTATGTTTTAAAGTTCATTAATCAGGCATACTGTATATAATTATGAGACTCTTAAACTGTGTTTTTTTTATTACGTTACAGGTATAAAGCAAGATTTACTGCTCTTTTGCGTGACTTGTGCTAAGCTGTTGCGGTGTATCGAAAGTGAAGTCTAATTTCAATCTCTTTTTTTATGAGGGTGTAATTATAATTTTATAAAAATTCAATTATGTCTGGATCGATGAAAATATACATCCATTTCGCTGAAATTGATCGAGTTTCAAAGAACTCTGTATTTAACGAGGTAATGAACATTATGTGGATTACAATGATGTTTGCTTACCTTGTAATAGATTTTATTGATTCGAGGCCAATAGTAATTTCCCACTTTGGTCTTGTTACGCAACAATATTATCCCACTCGGTGTCAGGCCCAGAAAATATTCCACGCTATCCTCGCCCTGTGGATCAAAAGATTTTCGTCGATTATTAACCGGCTGTCTGTGATTTACATGATTTTTTTTTTAATACGAAAAACTTACCAGAACGGGATGCAAATCGACCCCGTACATTTCGAGCCATTTCACCTTGTCAAGATAATTCAGCTCCGCCGCGGAAGGTAATTGTCCTCTGGAAAGGAGGTCATTGTTACTCTCGAAACTATTATCGTCACTTGTTACACGCATTCTGAACACAATCGAGTACATTTACACTCTTCATACATTATTTATGTTCATTGTATAATCGTTATGTAACAATTACATCAGGCATCCGGATAATGTAAAATATTGTAAAACAATAGTCATCGGCAAAGAAAAACATTTGTCGATTCATGTTAGATACTGTAATACAACGATATTTAAAAAAAAATTAGATTTATTTGTATTTAAATATGTTCTACCCATTTAATTTAGTTTCAATGAATATCCATTTCATGTATTATGTAGAATCACTTTTATTGATTCATTTACATGATAGCTTCAGTAATTTCACAGTTCCTTTGGATGACTTTAAAGATCATAACGTACATATGTTTCTCTTTATTTTTTGATATAGCGAAATTTATGATGTTTTATATTTATCATAAGAGAGTGTTATTTTTAGTAGCGAAGCAAAGAACGGTAAACAAAAACGTATAATTAACCAGTAATCAGAAATACTTACACAAGAGTTTTATGAAGCTCCACAATACGGTTCTCCAGTTCCGTGGTCTGATTGGCTAAGAATCGAAATTCGGTAACATAACCCAAGGAATGTCGTCTTGGATCGTAATCTCCGAGTTCCGCTGAAATAAAACCGCAAAATTTTCCAATCTATTGATCAAAATTATCACCATGTATTATTCGAATAAAATTCTGTTCAACTCTGGTTAAAATATATTAATAAAAGAAACCTTTGTATTCCTTTTGTTTTTGTACAAGTAGGTATCGCTACATTTGATTCAATACTAAGTAAATATCAGAGTTGGCCAAAATGTAATCTAATTACAAAATCCAAATCACAATTTCAATATAATTGCAAGGCAATTACAATTACATTGTAATTAACTATACTAAATTTATAAGAAAAATTAATTCTAATTGCACTTGTCCCGAAATTACATTGCAATTGCAATTTAGATTTTGTAGTTAGAGTACATTTTGCCCGATTCTGGTATACATATATTGATAATTTTTTTCAATACAAGTAATAATATCCATACCTCGATGGTATCGGTTTATCCCTACGTATGGCCTCTAATTAAATCACGAAAGGGAGCAATGTACCGTAGTCTAGAAAGTGCCAAATAATGTCCACCATCGCGAAATCGGGAGTTCGGAGGACAATTAATCGTATCTGATTCTCGCCGAGGATTCCCACCCGATGCGATCGTTGGAAATTCCGTTCTTTCGCCCTATTCCCCGACTCTTCCCCCGCCGTTCCTGTCACCGTCGATCCCCCTATAGGGTGCACGGACAGAAATGCCCTCCAGAAATCATCCTAGCCGGTTAATTGAATCACCGACTTTGATGAATATCGGCCCCGACCGATGCGTCGTGGCGGCGAGAGCACTTTATTTTCTCGCTGCCCCCCATTCTCGACCATCCAGGATGCGATGGAAGAAACCCAGGCACACGTTGTCGTCGCCCCGGCTTCTTGTATGCTCGTTCGATCGTGTAATTACGAGACCGCCGGTCGGAGATCGCGAAAACGATCGGTCGGACCGCGTTATGCACGAATCGCGCATCTATCGGCCTACGGAGACCCAGTCTCGTCGACGAAGAGGGAATTGGCAGAAATGGGGATCGTTATGAACAGAAAACGTTCATGTACATTACCGTCCATAAATATCCGAACACAGTATATTATCAATATTTGAATGTTACTATTTCTATTTGAATTTTTTAAGCCTTATTTGTTTTTAGAGATATCAAGGTGACCTTGAGATTTTTAAAGGTCAAAGGAAAGACGAATTCAACGACCTACAGCACGATAGTATTAAAAAAAAAGATTCATTGACCTTAAAACAACTCGTCACTTTGATTTCTTTAAAAAAGTAAGATATAAAAGAATCAAATTGTATCCATCCCATGCGCACGTTAAAATGGTATATAATTAATTAGTACGTTTTTTGAATTATGTCTTAGAATTATTTCAATTGAAATATCTCCTAAAGCATTAAGTTTTCGACATAAATAGGAAATACTTTTTTATAACGAACATCGAGTTGCATCGATTGGTATATTAAAAAATACAAAATTTCATTTAAAAAAATTAAATTGACCTTCATATGACCTTTACACGCCCACTCGCGAAAAAGCTAATAACACCAGTATATGCCCCCTTGACATCATTCAATTTTCATCTAAAATATTTTTCGTTACGAGTAATAATACCGAAAAAATCAAGATGCCAAATTAAACGAGACAGTCTGTATACTGAATTCGTTGTTGTTCGTGAAATTGAGGAAGTCTAAAGATTGAACATTTTTTCTGTTTTTCTTGATAGGAGAAAGGGAATGATATAATCTCTCAATGATCGTTGGGGACGGATATTATCCAAGCATGCAGACGATCGTTCGAATTACTGTGTAGGAAGGAAGAGAGAAAACGGAGGGCTGTAATTCGATTGATGGAAAACGTAGAATCAAGAGATACAAGAGGGATTTTTATGCTGATGAATCTCCGTTGTGGTTCTCATGAAAGCTTCTTCGACCTCTTATTTAATGGCGTATTGATATGAGCATCTATTTTGTAAATCGAACGTGAGTTTTGTAAACCGAGTTTTCATAGAATTTGTCGTATCTCAAGTTGAAAAATCACCCTTTTGATGTGGAAAATTGAAATGGCATTCCATCCAGGGACTCGCCCCGAGCTTTTTGAATCACATCCTGTTGACTGTATCTTTGTTAATCTTTCACTTCGGTCCGCCATCCGTTTCAAATCTCTTTTTCTGTTCTCCCTTTACTCGTGTTTCCAATCATAAAAGTAATAGGATCGTATCAGTTGTATCGATAGAATTATCTCGGCAATATCTTCAGTTTCTCAAAATTCTTCAAGCAAAAAAAAAGAATAATTAAAAAGTTGATTGGATAAAGATGCTCTCCGACCTTTTCGACTTCACCTGGTTACTTCTATTAAAAACATATCTTACTCTTTAAAGTTATTTGAATTTTTGCAACGAAACAATTATCAATATAAGTAATAGTCAATCCATCACGAAGCTATTAAAATATTTAGATGTAATATCCCAAATAATGTGTGTTATAAAGTACTTTTCGTCTCGAATGATTTTCTATTTTATAAAGCTACGTCTAAGAGGAAATAAATAAAAAATGTAGCATACACATTATAAATTCCTTAAAAATACTAAATTAAGAAACATGTCGCCAATAATTGCATGTATTCCACAATTTACATGAAATTATGTAGTGATATAATCAGTCCCAAAAGGGACTTGAACGTTTCATCATAACGACACAAAAATTCTTTAAATTTTTGGAAAATTTTAGAATTAAGGAATAGAAAACTAAAAATTTTCGTATAAAATTTCCAATTTCTGAAAAATTTAGAAAAATAAAAATTTATATGTCACCCTAAACGATGAACATGTAAATTAGCATAATTGAAGTAACCATATCACCTTACTTTTTAATATATCAGCACCAACATTCCTATTTACTATTCGAACAGGATTCTGCAAGCACGGAGACCCTATTTACGAATCAACTCACCCGTTTCTATACACCAGAAAGGTGCGCAGTGCTTCATTAAGCAGCACCGAAGTAACAATGCCCGGATAAAAGAGCAATCATAAACGCAGGGAAAAATCTCAAGCCCTAGAGATACGGTTTCCATTTTACGCAGCTCGATAAAGCGTCTTCGAGTTTCCTCCGGTGGCTGCTAGCGGAGAGGGATGGGACGGGGTGCCGCGGGTCCTCGAGAAATTATGAAACTAAATTAATTTACGAAACGACATCACCGACCTAAAAACGGAATGAAAGAGTCTGCAGGGGGGAGGGGGAGGAACGGAAATGCGCCGTGGAATAATGGGATCCACTCGGCGGGTATTTCTGAGACGGAAGGAATGCCTAAGGTGTTTTCTCGTCGCCGTTGTAATGGCATTGTGCTCAAAGCTCTGGGCTATCTTGTTTGAGATCTCCGGCGAAGAGTGGACAACGCTTTCACCGGGCGGCCCTCTATCTCCGTTTGTAAAATAGAGAGCGCAGAAACCGGCCGTTCTACTTATTTCCAGAGCAACTTCAATATTTGCGGAAGCGACAGGGGGGCAAAAGGGCTCGTTTTCTAAACGATACCGTCATCGCATGGAAAAACGCGTTAAGGTCCGTTTATACTAGAACTAGTCGACTACAGGACGAACCTTCGACGAACACTAGTCGAACATTAGACGTACCTTCGACGAACATTACACGAACCTTCGACGACAGTGGCGGATCCATTAGATATAAAAATATTTTGTCACCTATATTTGTAAAAGAAAATTGAAAAAAAATGCATTTATACACATAGCCCCTTCCCCCTGGTCTAAAGAAAGGCTACTGGATCCACCACTGTTCGATAAGCTTTCGACGGGACTAAGAGGGCCGCGTTTATCATTAGGAAAAATAGGCACATGCTGGGGCTCGTATAGAGAGGTGTTTGTCCTTACTGCATGAAGTAAATAAATCCGCTGTCTGTAACTTCTAAATGTAATTAATTACTATATAATAGTATGTAGGCAAAATACCATGAAATTATATCTACATTTCCTAACGTCGAAATAATTTCAGGATTGTTTTTACTAGATTACCAATGAGCAATACCAAAGGGGAGCGTTCATTTTCCGCACAAAAATTGGTGAAAAAGTATTTACGCGTACTCTTTCGGAACAAAAGATTAACGCACTGGTAGGACTGTACATAGAAAAAGATATTTTTAAAACTCTATGTTGTATGGGGACATTATTAATAAGTGAACAGACATCAAAACTATGAAACAAAAATTTTTAATTCCTTAAAATAATTTAATACCTACTGATTTTTTTTTTATTTTGATTTATGATAATACGAATTAACAGAACTTCAAATATTGTGGTTTTTTTTAACAAACATCACCCTCATTCTTGTTTATATAAAAAAAGCTTCGATTTTCATTGTATACCTAGGGTCCAAAAGGCTCTGGACGCGGCCCTGGGGATCAAGATGAGTTCGGTAGTACTTATACATTGTTTCATTTGAAAGAAATGAAAGAATATTTTCTTTTATTAAGGCTCTGCCAGTCCCAGTATAAATGGACCTTTACCCGTGCGACGTCCGACATGTCGCCCGGACAGAAGTCACGGGAAATGTAACCATCCCAGCTCCCGACTCGATTAATGCTTCCGTGAAATTGCTTTTCGACGTTGAACAAGTATACGGTTACTTCTGCAGCGTGTGATTGTAGATAAAGTTTTTTTTTCAACAGGAATAAGCAGTTAGGTCGTTGCGTTATAAAGACTAGGGAGAAATTGTGCTGCAGTTTTTCTCTTTGGGCATGTTATTGCCTCGTTGTCACGGCACAATATTGAGAATTAAGCTATGATATTAAGCGGCGACAATGATTTGTTATGAGGGACGATAACGTATTTTTATAGGGACAAAAGGTTTATTGTAAACGGACATTAAGGTTTCAACTGTGGGTATGGAGGAATGAGTGCTGTAATGTTTGAGTGCTGTTAAAACATTTCATACATATGTATCAAGCAAAGTGACACTAGTGCCATTTTGCTTGAAGTATTGGATTTCAACTTATGACGTATTTCTGGATC